ACCAGGCCACTACTAAATTTATATTTTTATGTCTTTCTTAGCTTCTTGCTTTTTATACATAAAATATTCACTGTTTATAATGAGTTTTAGTGTTCTACAAAGTAAGCACTTTAATTACATCTATATAGGTCTTGTTTTTTTTTAATTGGAAGCAACAGAGGGAAATTCTGGCTAATTGGAAGAAAATAACAGTTTTTGAGGAAATACTAGTTAACAAGTAGAATTTATGGAAAGTGAAAAGGAATTGCTTTGGAAGCCAGGCACCAGAAACAATTTGCACACTGTAGAGCTAGCTCAACAAAGACAGGATCACTTGGTGCCCATTCTACTCTGTATGTGTGTATGTATTTTTTTAAAGACTCATTTTCTTTTCAGATTTGTGAATTTTACTGTTATATTTCAATAAAGCATTTAACATACATAAGCATTTATAAAGGAATTATGTTAAAGGAGGCATTAGTTCAAGTCTTAAAGTTTCACAGCATACAGAAGTGCAGTACATCTTCTACCATTTTTCTTTATCATTATATTTAGTTTGCATATATTTGGGGAGTTGCATGTAGAGCCTTTGTATTAGGAGTTTGGCCAGGTCCCTGATCTTCTAGGACAGATGTTCGGTAAAGCCTGAAATAAGAGACAAACAATATGGTTTTGGGTTGTTCAGGAAGGTCAGAACTCAGGACTCTCTTGGAGCTAAGACAAAGTCTTCTTTGGTTTGCCTATATTTGTTGGGTTTCCAATAAATAAAGGTGATAGTTGGGGTAAAAGTGGGGCAACAGAACAGGACCTTGAGAAATTTGAACAAAAACACTCAAAGCAATAACTCTTGCTAAGTAAAAGAACTCTTATCTGTAAGGTAGGCAGTTTATTGTCTTTGAATTCTAAGTGAGATTCAATTCACCACAACTGGAACATTTATCTTATCTTCAAAGATTGTGAATATGAGCTTTTCCAACAGGGCCAGACTTTCTTTTGTAGTCAGTAACTTAACCCTTAACACTGCCCAATCCCCAACAAGGATTATTGCTTTAAATAGATAGAATGGTTGGGTTTGAAAGTTCTAGAAAATGACAGAAAGTGAATTGATTTTGATTTGGGAAGTGCTTTGAGAGAGCAGAATCTTAGGTGCTTTCCACATGGGAAAGGAATAATGACTCCCATGAGAATTTGTCCCAACACATTTTGATGTCTCTAAAGTTTCCACTGTAATTTGTGCAGGGATCTTGGCTGCAGGGCTGGGAGTGCGGGTGTAGTGGGGTGAGGGTGGGCTGGCAGAAAGAAGAACCCGGTGCATGGTAACACCAAAGACAGACCAAGAAGGATTGTTGAGCAAGTTAACTGTTGGCAGTCATCAGTGCTGAATGGCACCCTTGCCCAAATATCATTATTGGCCAAGTGTCCTGATGTAGTAGGTAGCACAAGGCAGCAGACATTATGCAAGTTGGAGTCTAGAGTGTGACAGGGCTCCACTTCACAATGACTGGGAGGGTTAGAGAGACATCAGTGTCCACCCCTCAAGAATAGATCCTGGCCACAGTCAGGTGACCTCTCCAGACCTCAGAGAAATGGTTTATATTAAATAAAAACTTTACATCCAGAAAGGTTCTTTGGGTACAAATCAAGCAGCAATGGCAATTATTATGCAGCTATGACTTTGATCTGGGATGGACAGATACCAGATAATCCTAAATTCCTATAAAGGGCACAATACTACTAATACAGGGTGGACTTGGATCATAACAGCTGAGATACTTGAGGCAGCATTTAGAAAGTGATGAATTTAAAACAGTCATCAACTAGTTCATAAATCTGCACTGATTCTACATCTTGAAGCACCTATTACAATGCTGGGGCCTGTACTCAGTACAGATGCACTGAATTAAAGGGGGAATTACACAAGCACACATTCATATGTCTGAATGTGTCCATACATAAGCTTGGAGTGATAAACGCAGCCACAGAAGAGAAAAAGCTTGCCAGTCTGTAGGGCAGTCAAGTGTAATCAACTTACTGCAAGGTTCTAGCTATGATGAGATACCATGTGGAAATAAAAATAGGAAATTATTCATACTCAGAATGAGGACATTTCCAGGCCTAGGGACTGTCTAGGAAGGGAATTTTATCCTCATTTAGTTTTTTTTTTTAATACTGGCATGGTACATTTTTACAGGACACTCTTGCCCATTGTATTTTTCTCATTTCAATATGAGAAAAGCTTCTTGCCCCTTATTTGCTTATTTTTTCTCAATGTGTAAAAATTTAGGTTATGTGGGTAATCTTTATGGATTATAAGGCTACTAGTCACATGAGATTGCCTAGATTGTTTATGGAATATTTTGGGAATCAAAGTAGGTATCACCAGACTAGCTTGGCCTTCACAAGGCTGATAGATATCACACGTAGGTTGTTCTCATGCCAAAGTACTTAGTGGGAGCCAGACCAGAGCTCTGAGCTGGCAGGCCAAGGGTACACGCAACCCGAGCAACAGTCATGAGGCATCATCAGGCTGAGGTGTGCCTGGCCCTAGGCAGGCAGGGAATCTGATCGGTAATCAAAGTTAAAGAAGTCAGTGTCTACTGAGAGGGTAGAAATAGAATTTATGTCCCTTGTACCAAAGAATATTTAGGTGGAGGAGGAAAGAGTCAATGTGTTGTATAATTCCACGTGCCCATGAATGCTCTTATTCTCAAGGAAATCTTGGTTAAACGACATGGTGATTTTTTTTTTCTTCTTTCTTTTGTTTTATCTTTTGGAGATAGGGTTTCACTATGCAATTTAGGCTGGCCTTGAACTCACTTTGTAGCCCAGGCTGGTCTCAAATTCACAGCAGTTCTGCCTCAGGCTCCGGAGTACTGGGATTACAGGCATGCATCACCACGCCCAGCAACCTTGTCATAGTCTTCAAACACAGTCTCATATCTTCTTCGCTAGTTACTCATCTTGATCTTTAGAGATTTGTGTGACTTCATTTTGATGGAATCCTCTTCTGGTCCTCCTCCACATCAACTCAAGCGCCATAAATTCATGTCACAGAAGGCTCGGTTCTTCTTATCTGAATGTGTTGGGGGGCACATTCAGGAGCAGTACCCGTGGGTGGTGGTGGGCTGGGCAGGCGGCCAGGGTTGTACTCTGCTATGCTTGGTGGGGGCTGCAACAGTGGTGTGCTCAGGGTGGCGTAGTCACCCTTAGTATAGCTCCAGTGTGTCTTGGCCTTGGCATTGTTATGCAAGATCCCTAGACCTCTGCCTTGTGCCCTGGCCTTGGGAGGAGGTGGAGGACCCGGGCAGACATTCTTTCCACACCCACATAAAACCTCAGAGAGCCTTTCTTTGTGCATTCATAAAAGCCCTTTACCTAATGCATGGCTCAGTGAATTAAGCTCACTGGCTAGAAGCTTTTAAAATCACATTTTCAATAATTTCTCAACAACTCATTAGGAAAACAGGTCCCTTTTATTCTCATACTTAGTTTAAGAAGGCAGCTCCCTCTGCCAAATACATTTAAAGAATCCATCTGTAGGGCTGAGCATCTCTGGCCAGTTATATACGCGGACTGAAACTTGCTGATGGTTGACATGTAAATTTTTACTTTTGTCTGGAAATGATGTAAGAGTCTTGCAGGACACTTGCAGGAAGTAAAAATGTCACTTTCCCACACTCGGGGGAGCTCCAGACCCAATGCCTGTTGTGAGATGAGGCGTAATGTGTGGCCACCTAGAGACAGCCAATGTCACCTTTTGATTAGCAGGAAGAAGGATCGGGAGTGAACACAGTCACATCTTGAAGGGAAAGAGTTCTCCTTGCTGGCAACAAAAAGCGACAGAGAGCTCAACAGAGGCCTCAAGCCCAGGCAGACTGCTAGCTGCACTCATAGAAGGGTGGGAGCCTGGGCTGGCCCATGTGAGCAGGTACAATGCTCTCCAGATGGAAGGGGACAGCAGTCCAGGAGGACCCAGGCCAATGAAGCTAGCAGGTCAGGAAGGCACATGGAGCCATCTGGAGGGGTCCTGCTGCTTGAACAAGGCTGGATATACTTATTTCTGATTATATTTGTATCATATGTAGTGCAAGATATTAAAGTTTCACCATATTGCTTGTAAATATATCTGAAGTATTCACTGTACTTAAAGCAACATCTTCAATATTTAACAATACACAAGCTATGCTTTTAGTGTGCACTTTATGTATTTTAAAAACACAGAGATACCTGGGGGAGCTTGAAGAATTTACCCTTCAAAGCTGTCATTTCCACTGATAAGACTAAAGGTAGCATTTTGGCTTCTTTTTCATGCTTTCCTTGGGTTGTAGTTTGGTTCAGTAAGCAGAGGTAACTCTGTCATTAGAGCTGTCTCTAGCACTGTCCTCTGACATTAGTAACTTTCTGACTCCTGGCTCTGGGTTACACACTTGACAGGAATGATTTCGCATCAACTTTATAGGTCACTGGCACTGTGACCATTTGTAAATATGTTGTTTTGTACAAAGGGGACTGCTGTCCGAGACTCTCTGGCTCCTGGAGGTGACTGTTGCCCAGGTTGGAAACTCCTTTCTGGTCACTTCCATAGCACCCTGAGATTTCTAAATCAAGGCAAGTTGTTCTGAAGGTCAGACGCACTTCTTTACACGGGTATTGTTAGCTGCTTTTGAGAATCTGGGGAGGTGAGAAGTGAGCAATCAGAGACCTGACACCTACCTTGCACCAGGCTGAGGCAGCAGGGGCTGGGCAGATTAGAGGGAGGGAAGCGAGGTGCTGAGGTACTGTCCTGCCTGATATGCTCACTGAAGTCATGTTGGAGACCAGAGAACTGCTCTCCAGGTTTCTATATGTTCTATATTTCAGAATTATCTAGTGTGCTTTATAAAATGCTGGATTTAGGAACACCATCCCAGACTGGTTGAGTCATGATGGCTGGGCAGAACCTTGGGCATTCATATTTTACAAGGGTTCTGCAGATGATGCTGATTTCCAGTCAGTATCAGAGGTCACAGGTTGATTCTTACCTGGACACACAGGGTGCAGGGTTGGTACTGCTGTAGACTGCAATCATCTTGTCTTTCTAGGTAAAGAGAAGGGAGAGAAGTTTTGCAGATCGAGCTTTACTTTGGATGAAATGGAAGAGGAGGCTTTGGTGCAGTGCTTCCTTTGAGCAGTGTCCTTCAATGATCCAGGTTTCAGAAGTGCTGAAGAGACATCTCTGGGTGATTGTTTTTTATGCCTAAGAAAATTGAGAACATTATATGCTTGCTTTGTGTAATAAGGTTATATGGAAATATTTCTATCACCCAGCAAACAATTTAGTAATCATCATCAACTATTTAATTCAACATTGCCTTTCTTACAACCTAGTACAGTATAAGTCCTTTTGCTGGTCACTAAGAAAGTAAGACTTCCTCCTGACCTTAATTAAAGCAAAGCAGCTTTTTAGATAGGTCTCAAAATAAAATAAAAAAGGGATTGGATATGTAACTCAGTGGTTACTCAAATATAAATTTAGTTTAAAATGATCTTGGGTTTACAATGCCTTTAGTACCTGATAGAAACAATTGCAAATAAAATGCTTCATCCTTCTAAGGCTCAAGAAGTTTGACAAATTTTGTTTTCAAAAATATGAACTATTCCAGCTCTTTGGGAGGCTGAGGCAGGAGAGTCACAAGTTTGAATCCCACCTGGGCAACTTAGTGAAAGCCTGTCTCAAAATAAAAAGGAGATGTGACTCAGTAATCCTCAGTGTGACACACACACACACACACACACACACACACACACACACACACATTAACCACACAAACAAGAGAACTAGGAAGCCAGGTGTGGTGGTGCACACCTGTATCCCAGTATTAGGGAGTCTGAAGCAGGACGATCACTGCAAGTTCCAGCCTGGATTGCAAAGTATATTCAAGGCCAGCCTGAACTGCATAGTGAAATCCTGTCTCAAAAAAATAATAAATTAAAAAGAAAACAAATGACGAAAACTAGGTACCGTGTATGCCCATAAAATAGTACATATCTTTAGCTATATTAAAAATTAAATATATTACAAGTCAGAAACTCAAGGTTTGGTAGTACATATGTCCCAACTCTTGGGAAGCTGAGGCAGGAGGATCATGAGTTTGAGGCCAGCCTGAGCTACATAGCAAGTTTGAGACCAGCCTGGACTACATAGTAAGCCTCTGTCTCAAAAAAACAAAAAAAAACCCAAACTGATAAAAGATTCCTTTATAAAATAAAGGACTTCTGCAAATAAAGGATTTCTATAAATCAACTAGAAAAACCCAAACCTACCAACAGAAAAATGGACAAATCTTATATGTACATCACAAAAATATGAAATCTAAATCACCAACAATAAATATATGGAAAAATGCTTAACTTTATAAATAACCAGGGAATACAAAAAGTGTAACAAAACAGTACTATACATACAGCACTTAGATAAAATTCAAGTCTGACAATATCAAATAGTATACAAAATAGGAGCTCCCATACACTGTGTATATATAGTACAACTACTTTAAGGGAAAGCTTATCATCTATCAGAGTAAAATGAATAGAAACTTATGTCCTCTAAGGCATTTTCTACTACTATATTAGCAAAATGCCCTATGTCAGTGTGCTATGTACTGGGAGATATGTATAAAACTGTTCTGTGCAGACATGATTATGTAGCCTCATAATGGAAACAATTCAAATGCCTACCAAAGGTGCCAGGTGTGATGGGCATGCCTGTTATTCCCACAACCAGGAGGCTGAGGCAGGAGTATTACCATGAGTTTGAGGTCAGCCTGCGCTCCATAGTGAATTCAAGATCAACCTGAACTGTGTAGTGAGACTCTGTCTCAAAAATCCTAATGAACAAATCTCCTACCAATGGTAAAGTGGATAAATAATCATGCTACGGCATATTAAACAGCAATGAAAATAAATAAGCTAGAACTTTACAACTACATAGATTGTGGCATTGTAAATCCAACACTAAGTGAATAAAGCAAAACTCGAGCTATCCTGAGAGTGATTCTCTTCACATAAAGTTCAAAAGTGGAAAAATCTAAATTACATTGAACAGCATAGATGAACTGTAGAGAACCATGAAGGTGTAATAGCAGGCGGAAATTATAAGAATGGAAGTATGATTACCCTTACAAGGGACATGCAGGGATTCCTGTGGTGCCAGCAATCTGGTGGCTCTTGAGTTGGGTGATGAAGACACAGATGTTTCTTTTATAATTACACATTATGTTATGCATTATGTTTCTGCACCTTTCTGTTTGTGACTTATTGAAGTACCAAGGTTATTATTATTATTTTGGGAAGGGACCAGGGATCGAACTCATGACCTCACTCTTGCTAGGCAGGCGCTTATACCACTAAGCTAAATCCCCAGCCCCCAAGGTTATTTTTATTCTTTTTAACAATCAAATTTTTTAAACAGATGATATCATGAATAGCTTTATGCCAACAGATTGGACAAAATAGACACAAATGGGCAAACTTCTGGAAAATTATCATTTTCCAAATGAATCCAAAAGAAATAAAATATCTTACTAATTCTATAGGGCTGGGAAGTAGTAGAACACTGGTTAGCGGCCCAGTGAGCAGCAATTCCTGGGTTTGACCTCCAGTACTCCAAATCAATCTGAGAGATATCCAGGAAATTAAAAATTCCATTCAAAGCTGGCCAACCACTTGAACGAAACTAAAGATAGGCTTTCAGGTCTTGAAGACAGGATTGCAGCCAGTGATCAGGAAAGGAAAGGTCCCTTAAAAATAACAAGGAACCAGAAAATAACAATTCAACAGCCTTGCAAGATGATGGAAAGAAAAAAATATAAACTGATCGGTGTCAGTGAAAAAGCAGGGGTCCATATACCTATTTACAGAAGTAATAGCAGAAAACTTCTCAAGCATAGGAAAAGGACCTGACATGCAGATAAGTGAGGAACATGAATTCCAACTAGCCAAAACCAAAATAAATCTACATCCAGATCTATAATAATCAAGATCCAAGAAACTCAGCACAAAAACAGAATATTAAAAGCTGTGAGAGAAAAGAAACAGATCGCCTATAAATGAAAGCACATCAGAATCATAGCAGACTTCTCAACACAAACCATCAAATCAAGAAGAGTTTAGAATGAAGTATTTCAAGTCCTGAAAGAAAACAACTTCCAACCCAGATTGATACACCCTGCAAGACTATCTTTCAAAATTAACTGAGAAATAAGATACTTCCATGACAAAGGACAGAATTCATGATCATCAAGCCAACCCTCCAAAGAGTACTGAAAGATAATCTAGATAGAGATAAAAATGTCCACACACACGGGCCCAGCAGGCATCTGAGCAGTGGCCTGACCCCCCTGCCAGCAGCCTGCCCTCCTGTATACTCCCTTCAATCCCCTTCTTCAGGGCTGTCCCTTGCACTGTGCACCTTCACAGTGCAGGGAGGTCACAACCAGGACAGAAAGAGCAGGCTTAATAAACAGCTTGGTTGTCTCCACCTTTTCCAGTGCCTGCTGGATTTCTTGTGTCACAGGAGACTGTAATTCTGGATTCCCCAGACAACCAGCTGTCAGCTTGCCTGGAGATGTGGCTCCCTCCTGCAGCAAAACAGATGCAAAAAATTTTTAAAAAATCTTTGCCCCCCACCACACACTGCTGGCCTGGCCCATGACACCTGTGAGATCCGCTGACCCTCAATCCAGGCTTACAGCTGGCCAGGCCAGGCACCCCAGGCTGACACCACGTCTCCTCTACCTTCCCTTGCCTGGCCTGGTCCTACTGGGATTGTACTGTTGCCCTGCCCAGATCACTCCCCAAGGTGGCCCTGGGACCTCCTGCAGGATTAGGCTGTGCTGCTGTCCACTGACCAACATCCCCCCACCCCCACATACACTCCCACCTTGTCTTCTTACATTCTGATTTGGAGTAGACCGAAGGGTTGGTAGTGATAATCATCACGGAAGTCAAAAGAAGAAATCAACAGGCTGAATAGGATGTAGGACCTAGGATATCAGGTCACCCACTTTCCCAAGACTCGTGAAAACCTAGAGGAAGAGATGCAGGAGATTCGGGCATTTGAAAAATCAAAGCAAGCAGGGTGAAGTGGATGCATGGACTCTTATCATTTTTACAATTTCTCTTTTGTAGCTTCCTCCTGAAGCAAAACATGCAAAGTTTTTTGGGGGACATCTCCTCATTCCCCTGCCAAGTCACACCGAGTCTGCACCTTCCATCGGGCCCTACCTGAGACCTAGACTTGTTGGTGTTCATCCCTACTGGAGACTACAAGTGAATAAGCTAGTATGCCCAGACATAAGCACATTGTGTTGAGCGACTCGAGAAAAGCAACCTGCTTTTTCCTCCAGCTTTATAACAGGATGGGTGAGTGTCCTTCACTGGGGCTGGACAGAGAGGGAGAGAGAGAGCCCTGGGAGAAATTGCCACTGACATCCCTTCCCCCAGTGTCCCTGGTTAGCTGTAGCAACCCTGAGGACTAAAAGCAGTCTGACACTCAGAGGTTGGTTAAAGATTTTAGACACAATTGACATGCTCCTCCAGAGGGAATGGCAGGCTTGCAGTTCTGCTGATGCGCCCCACTGGGCAGGTGTGGAGAAAAAAATGCTTGTGCTCTGTGAGTGGCATTCTCACCAGAGGCACTGGCATCCAGATGGCCAAAGCAGCAATAGAGAAGGATGCTTGGACTAACAAACTTTTGTAGGTGGTGCCTGACAGCACCTTAAAAAATGATTCACAGACTTGTGTGTGAGCCTCCTTCGAGGTTCTATGCGTGTAGGACAGACTGACAAAATGCACCAGTGAGGCTCAAAAAGTGATCCTGCCGAGCTGGCAGAAAGTGATCCTGAGGAGCAGGCTGGCCTTTGTATCTGGGGCAGCAGCCCAATCATGGACATGTTATGAGAAAATTCTCAAGCCAAGCCAAAAGGAAGACTTTGCACCAAGGCAGCGTTTAATCTTTACTCCAATGGGCTGTTGCGGGATAATTCCACAAAGGCAACAGTGTTGAATATACAGAGAGCTTAGTTTGTATACAATTTAGAAGTGGGAGGTACAAAGTAAGTGAGAAAACATTGCATAATTCATTACATGCATTGAATCACTTTAGGGGGCGGGGGGATATTGGGGATTGAATTCACAATCTTGCGCTTGCCGGGCAGGTAGGGTCTTTTATCTCTGAGTTTATACCTCTGAGCTACTCTGGCCCCATTGAGTCACACTGACAGGCAGGCTAATCTTAAACAGATTTGTTGAAATGAAGGAATTGTTTATCATAATATAGAAACACCTGGGAACAGGGGAGGAGGCCCTTACTGAGTGAGCATAATTAAAAATGTCCTTGAATTAGCCCACGGTGCCTTAGGGTATGGACAGTTACTCTGACTCATTTATCAGAGATGTGTAGCTGGACTTTGGATACTATCGAAATAAATTGAATTCAGCAGAAACAGCAGAACAGAAACTCGATCAGAGACCTCTAAATGATCAGGAAATACCTATAAGGTTGCTATTTTATAAATGTGTTCTTTTCTTCTGTAGTTACCACAATTTTGCTAGCATAACTAAATAAGCAAATAAAATAATATCCAAGAAGTGCCAAGTGCCTTTCTGTTCCCCAGGAGGAAATTTAGAGGATTTGTAGATGAGTCGGTTGAATTTATGGCCATATTCTTTGCTAAGAAGTCTAAAATAAAAACTTTGGCATCATAAAAAAAAAATAAAATAAAATAAATGTGTTCTTACCTTATAATTGTGCCCCAACAGACTCAGTTGATCCTTTGGTGAAACCTAAGTCTCCTGATCCATAGGAGACTGCTCCGAACCAGAATATGAGAGGCAAAATATAAGAGGACAATCTTGACAGCTCCAGGGCCCTACAGGCTCAGCTGGAGGCTGAAAAAGCTGGAGACCCAAGAGCCAGGAGGTGGTTTGAGAGAGTGTGGAGCTGTGGAGGGGGCTTCAGGTGGAGCATGCCTCCCGCTGGCACAAGGCAGAGGCATAGCTACCTGGGCCCTAGCTGTAACCTCAGGCCATGGCCCTTGGAAGCTGGGAGGACCTTGTGCCCTGCCCCAGGCTGGGCAGCAGTGCACAGCAGGCTGGCAGAGGCTCCATGGACACAAAATACAGCCAAGACCGGGACAGCACGTCCTGAGAGGGTGCTGGGAGAGGAACAACGGAGAGAACAGCCTGGCCCAAAGGACACAGAGCATTAGGCCCTTGTGGCTTGGTGCCAGGAAGTTGCATGCAGCCCCAAGATTGCCACAAGGCGCTGATGCTGGGGTTAAGAGTTGAGGGCTGCACACCTTGTGATGAAACAGAGAGGACCTCTAGTGGTGATGAACAAGCCACAGGGGCTCAGCGTTGCCACTGCTAAGTCAGTGCCTGGGATCAGGCCGTAAGAACTCCCAATTGTCTGAGGCTCCGGCCCTATCCTGATGTTTGTTTCCCCAGCTGCTGCATACATACCAGGCGTGGATCTAATGACTGGTGCTGGCCTAGACCCTCCTTGGGGAAACCCTGCTTGCAAATTCCAGGGATAAAAACCAGAATCTGAGGACATCCACACCACACACCAGTATCAACTGCCAGGAGGCCACGAAGAAATGGTCTTTAAAAAAAATAGGGCTGGGGATTTAGTTCAGTGGCATAAGCGCCTCCCTGGCAAGCCAGAGGTTGTGAGTTTGATCCTCAGTACCAAACAAACAAACAAACAAACAGACAAAAGATCAGATCAAGGCCAGGGCTTTAGCTCAGCAGCATAAGCGCCTGAGCAAGTGTGAGGTCATGAGTTTGATCCCTGAAGAAAAAAACGCTAGAAGATGAAATCAAAGGATCAGAGAATTAAAGTATTCTGTGAGTTCACCAGCAAGATATACAGACTGTTTGTATTTACATTGTTTTTAATGGAACTAGGGAGATTATCTATTTCAAAAATGTAAACAAGTTTGCCTCTATTTTTTTTTTTTTTTTGGTGCTGGGGATTGAACTCATGACCTTGTACCTACCAGGCAGGCACTTAAGCCACTGAGCTAAATCCCCAGACCTGGCCTCTATTTTTTTTAACCTGACAAAGTGAGCAGTTTAAGTGAAACAAATAAATATCTCACTAAAGTTAAAAAGAAATGTCTTCAAATGGAAGAAGCAGGGGTGGTATGTCCTGCAGAGAGCCCTTCAGTATGGCCTGTGCAGCAGCTGGACAAGTAATGGTGAATAACCGGCAAATCTCCCCCTGACGCTGGCAGTCAGGACCAATGGATCTTCCAGATACTGCCACAAGGTTATTTGCATTAAAGCCTGACTTTGTGTCATGGCTTGGTGGCCCGGGACCTGGACACCGAGGCCAAGCCAGACTCTGTCACCATTTCAATGATGATATGTTAACCTCTGATTGCTCTGCAGATTTGACAGCTGCCATGCACTGTCTGAAGGGAGCTTTGCTGGCCTGTGGTAGGCTGTGAATGAACTCAAGGTCCAGGGAACAGGCTTGTCTCTCACATTCTTGGGTGTTACATGGGCAGGGAAGACACAAAGAATTCCCACTGCAATTACAGATGACCTAGAAGCGCATGATATGGCTGACAGGCACAGCAGAAGCTACTTTTCAGGACTCAAAGAGGGCAGCGGCACAGGTGCCAGCCCTTGAATCAGTGACTCTACCCGCCATGTATCTTAGCAGTCAGTGTCGATGATGTTGAGGTGCTGGGGCCTGTGACAAAAGTGGGGAAGCACCCTGTTGCTGTAACACAAGTAAACAGCAGAGACTATCAGGCTTGTATAAAAGCAAAATGGCATGGAATTTACTGTGCCCGGGTTCAGGCAGAAAGCACAGTTAGACCTTCTGCCCCAAATAAAGAGAAGTGTGTCCCTTTTATAGGGATAAAGAGAAGGCAGGGGATAGGTGGGAAGATCCCAATGAACATTTGAGGTTGAAGTTTTTTGGCAATTTTGCATCTCAGTGGGCAGAGTCTTTTGCAGTGTCCATTGTAAACTTTTGGGTGTCTCCAGATGTCTCCAGGATCTGCAAAATTTTTTGTCCTATCTTATCTCCTTTCCTGTGTTTTGGGTGCCGAGCTGGGTTCCCTGTTGAAGGCTGAATTCCCTGAAGACATCGGTGCTTCTGCTGGCAAGCAGATTGGGTGCTGGGAGAATCAGGGCAGGTTGGAGACTTACAGTTGGGTTTTGGTCACAGCTGTAGAAAGGAAACTGAGAGCTGTTATTTGCTGATTGAGAAGCAGTTAGCAGCAGTACATGCCACTCTACATGCCTGTTAGGAATCATGGGACAGATAAAGGGCTGGGTACAAACATGGATGTCCTATTCCAGGAATGGGGTGATACGGACTCTCACTTTTACTCACTGGGTGACGTATCTCCAACAGCAGGCCTCTTTTTCAGCCAGCTCATTGGCAGCTGAACTGGCAACAGTTTTGGGACCCCTGGTTTACTCAGCTCAAGAATCCACCCAGGAGGACAGACTACAGGATGTGACTCCTACTTGCTATGTGGAAGGGACAGAGGGACCGTTGGCTCATGCCCGGTATACTCATGGGTCTAGCTGTGACACAATACCATAATGGACAATAGTTACTGTCCAATGCACTGTGAAAATACTCTGATTTGGAACCGAAATAGGCAGGTCAAGCCAATGGGCAGAGTTGCAGGCAGCCTGATTGCTCGTGATGCATGAAAAAGAATCCTTACATGTGTGCACAGACAGTTGGACTGTGTTTAGGGGACCGATGCTGTGGCTGTCAGCTTGGGCAGCAACATGTGACTGTCCCTTGTGGGGTGCAGACCTAGGGTGAGACATATGGGAGCGTGGCCAAGAAATTGACTATGTGGTGTATTATTTTCTCTCACCAGGAAATGACTTAGCAGATGCCTTCACCAGGAATTACAGTGGTTGACTGCTAGGAATAGCATCTGACCAAGAAAATTGACTGTTATAGGGATTGACTGCTAGCAACAGTGTCTGACCAGGGGCTGGGACCCTAGACCTACTTTCTTTTTTTTTTTGTCTTTTTCCTTTTTATCGGTACCGGGGATTGAACTCACGACTGCCTGCTTACAAGGCAGGCGCTTATGCCGCCGAGCTAAATCCCTAGCCACTAGACCTACCTTCTAGTGAAGCCCTTGCTCAACATATGGCCAGGCCTTAAATGTTACCCATCAGGCTTTGATGTTGCTCATGGATAAAACTTCTCAGATGAGAAA